CACATTTCAGTTGTCATGATTATCGATTTTCGCGCGGAATATACTACTCGCAAACGAAAGATTCGACCCGGTTTCACTTGAGTCTGTTGCTAAAATCAAACTAGTTTGCAAATGAATATACATTACGAAGAGAACAACCCGTCTGTTCGTCGAAAAAAGTTACATCTGTGAATAACTAACCAAATATTCGAGACCGTGTGTTTAAAAGCTTCGGGGGGGGGGGGACCAAAGCAAGTATTTTTCTGAAAACTAATGAGTTGGATGTCATTAGAGCCACTGGATCAGTACATTTTTGAGGAAAGTTCTCACAGTGCAGGTGGTAGCGTCCCAAGTGCTCATTCATCTTGTGGAACGGATGTTTCAGGACGTTAAAACGTGCCAAATAGCATGCGTTGTAAGTTTGACTGTTCAGTGGAACACAATACTTCACGTAACTAAAAGTCTGCGCGACCGTGGTGTGCAGTTCTCAAATTAGAAGTACTTTCGTCCCAAATGGCCTTAAGGCGCCATTTCCATTGGAATAACGTAGGATCGGTCGTCTTAAATTCATGGTTCATTGTTAATCTAAACTTTGTGGAAAAAGTCGATAAGGACCTTATATGTGTAGTTCTAGGGATATAAACTAACTTCTGTCGCAATACGTTTCAAGATCCACTCTGACGAAGTTGAATATTGAAGAAGAGGGGAAATTTATTCACGTCGGTTATGTCTAGTTCTATTTCAGGGACGAGTGGCATTGCTTCTTAGACCGATTGATGTTCGCCTAGGCTGTACGGAACAAGCTACAAGCTATGGCATATGCGCCGACCGCCAAAAAGAGAAGTCTCCCATGAAGATCTCAGTCTCATCTTATCCAGACGAGAACCATATACACACGTCTTGTAATTTGAGATTCGTGATTCTTGGCCAGGAGGTGATAGGTTCTATCAGAACTTGACTCTACGGGTAACAAGAATATTAACTTTTGATCAACTGATATAAAAAACCATTTAGAGTACGAATTGGACGTGAAAATAGTCAAGGACCTAGGCCAGATATTTCAGTTGTATTTCTTAATCCTTTGGTCTAAAACATTTATCAGTGGGCGGACGACATTAACAAAACACCTCGTAACGGGAGGAGACATTTACTGAGGTTGAATAATGCTGCGGTGTGTTTCTCGCTTTTTCCGAATAAATTTCACGAATACTTTCTACCGGAATCTGTCAGCTACCACCCCAAAAATCACTGAATTCTCTTTACCATAGTACTCTTAAGTTTCGCAGTACGAGCGTTTATATATATATATA